ACCAACAGAAGGATGCTCTTGTGAGCATGGCGGAGAGGAGCGTTGCCCTTGGGGAAAAGGCGGCAGAGGCAGCTCCCAGTTAAACTGGAATGCCAGGCACAGTCCCACCCGTGGGGCTCAGGCAGTTCCTCGGGGACACGCGTGCATGCATGTACGCAGACAGACAGACAGACACCCTTAATGGGGACTTGAGAACTGGAGATGCAGGGAGCCCAGGTGCCACAAGGGCTTTTGCCCAAGGGTGGGGCTGACTGGCAGGGTCCCCCTCCTGCCTGGGCTGCCCTATGGGGATGAGGTTGCGGGGGGGGGCAGAGAGCTGCTCTCAAACTCCCTCTCCAGCCTCTGCCCACGCACATCCTCAGGCAGCAAGATGGCACAGCCTCCAGCAGCAGGGCAAAGGAAGGGGGGGGGAAGGGGACTGCGGCTGCACCCCAGAGACCCCCATACCTGAGTCACTCTCCAGCCTCTGACCGCCCGGTTCACTTCACAGGCGTAGACCAGCACCATCAGCAGAGAGATGGCGTAGAACATCTGAGGGGCAGGAGGCAGACGAGGGCTGCAACAGAGGCGGCTCCCCCTGCGGAACCCTCTGTCCCCTGGGCTTCGGGCTCTTAGGTGGGGCCAAAGAGGAGAGGAGGGAGCAGCCCCAAATCCCCCAGCGCACCCGTCCAGCCCCAGTACGAGGAGGCAAAAGGATCTTCCCTCTGCCCGGCTGGGAGACCCTGTACTGACCCACCAGCCACCCTCTCCAACTGGGCTCAGCCAGCAGAGAATCCACCCCCCACACACACGCACAGACCTGCCACCCCAGAGTTACCATGCCAAACATCCGCCCATACGGGCAGAAGCGGTGGGCCACCCCAAAGGGCTGGGCGGGGAGGAGGTGGATGGCCATGGTGGGGATCAGCACCGCAGCGCCCAGGAAGTCAGCGAGTGAGAGGACCACGAGAGGACGGAGCTGTGGACAAGCAGCAGGTCAGCAGCCACCTCCAGCCAACCAGCAGGCAGAGCTGCCCTCCTTTCGGTGCCCCCTGCAGCACAGCTTCTGTCCGGGGCGGCTCTCTTGGCATCCAAAGCGGGGCTTCCCGAGCTGCTCCAGCCTTTTCCCACAGCCGAGGGAGCCTCCCAGGCCGTCTGGATGGCCGGAGATTCCCTTTCAATCTCTGCAGAAGCCTGATCACTCGGGAGGGGGGGAAGCCGAATGCAGCCGCATTTGGAAAAGGCAAACGTCTGCAGGGGAGCCTGCCCTACTCCCCTAGGGCTGGAAGGGACCCTGGTGGCCTTCTTGTCCACCCCCAGGCCAAGGCAGGAGTCCTTACGCCTTACGCCTTTCTCAAGGGAAAATGCCTCCCCGCTTTTTCAAGGAGCCCCCGTGTCTTCTCCTAGCCAGCTGTGCCGGCCTTTTAGCAAGAGACCAGGGCTGCCACGCCACTCAGCTTGGGCCAGCAGCCTCCGCCTGTCAGGGCTGGTGTGTATATGTGTGTGTGTGTGTCTTAACATCTGGTATCCACCCAGCCCGCTTGTCTTCTAGTTCGGTGCCCTGTGGGGACCCAGAGAAAGAGTGGACTATAAGGCAGGTTACCAAACCCGGGGCGGCCTTTGGGGGTCACCCATCAAACCTGGTCACAGCAGCATTGTCTTCGGCGGACGGCCATGGCCAGAATGGAGCCACTGCCCAGCAGGCTGAAAGAAAAGCCCAACGGGATCAAGTGGGCCCGACTGCCGCCACAGATCCACCCAAGGTGGGGCTTTTCCCTCCCTCTGCTCCCCCCGTCAAGTTTGCCTTGGGAGCAGGCAGAAGTCCCCTCCTCCGCCCCCATTTAGCAACTATCAACCCCCCCCACTCCCTCTGGCCCTGCACCCCAGGAGGCCCACCCAGACACAGACCCCACAGGAAGGGCGGGGCCATCCACAAGTGACGGGAGGAGACTCCTTCCCAACCCTGCCCTGCAGCCCATGCCTTCGACCCCAGACCCTGCTGGGCACTCCTCCCACAGCAGGAAGCCCCTGCTGGCTGGCCCAGGCCCAGGCCCCCACCCCCCTTCGCAGGGGAGCCAGATGAAGGAGAGACAATTTGTCTCCTGCCTCCCCCACAGAAGGCAGGACCAGGCCAGAGCCAGACCCGGGGTTTATTGGTTCTCGAGGCTGCTGGAGACGGGGAAACCAGCAGTGCCTCCCTGTCCCCTGGGAGTCCGGCAGGGGAGTTTAGCCAGCCCCTCTGCTCACCTGAGGGAGAGGGTCACCAGGTAGATGCACACCAGAACCAGGATCTTGGGAAGAAGCAGAAAGTTCAGGGAGGGGCCATCCAGTCCAAACCAAAGCCCCCCCAGGAGAGAGCCCCCCCCCCAGAACTGGGCCAGGTGCGCCCCAGGGAGTTCCCCTCGGCACCTCCTTCCCCCTCCCTTCAGGACGGGCAGAGAACAGGCTGGGATCATCCGGTTTGCCTCTCCCCAAAGTCTGCTGGCTCCACCGACCCTGGCAAGCCTTTCCCAAGGCTGCACGGCCACCCTGTCTCCCCACAGGCCCCTGTTCCTAGGGCCTGGACCATCATCATCCTGGCTTTGGAAAGCCTCTTCCCATTTCTGGCTCTTGGTAAAGAATTCGGACTTGCAGGAGGAGGCGGTGGGCTCCCACTGATGAAGGCGCCACCTAAAACTGCACTTTCCCTCTCTGGAGCCACTTCCAATTCATGGCTTCTGAAATGCCACCACCAGGGTTTCCCTCACCTGTGCCCGGGATGGTTTCTGTAGAATTTGGCATTTCCTCAAATAAACCTGGCATTGGGTTCCTATCTGCAACCTGTGAACCTCATTTTGAGTATTGCATTTTAGGGAGCTCTCTCTCTCTCTCTCGCTCAGTTCTGCATCGCCAGCAGACGTAGAGAGCCTTTCCCCTCCGCCCTTCCCTCCCAGTCCTCCTCCGTGGAAAGAGACACGGCGCCTTTTCCCAAGGGGGGGAAGCAGAGGGAGGGGCGCTTAGGGCTCCGGAGTCAGCCACGCTTTCTGCCTAATGGCCAGTGCCCTCGATCGGCTGGCTAAGCAGCACCTCATGGGATGCTCCACCAAACACTTCCAGAGTCTACTTCAATACTCTACAAGGCAGTTTAGCCAATTAAAAGGAAAAAGGAAAAAAATTCAGGTTAGTTGGCAAAAATGTGTTGCTGACAAAGCTGATCTGCAATAAAGCCTGCCTTGTTTTGGAGGCCCAGGGCTACCTGGCTCTTACGGTCCCGGGTTTTTTGGGAGGTTCGGAAGCCGGTGGAGAGCAGGGAGCAGCAGGCGGCAGCCGTTTAGGAAAGGTGGTCCTGCCTTCCCCAGAGCCCCTCCACTCTTGGGCACAGCAAATCAGCGAGGCCAGCTGACTGCCCTGGAAGAACCTCCCCCACCCCCACCCGTGCAGTGCCAGGGCAGATGTGGGCTCCTGGCTGTCCTTGGCAGCCGAAGGGAGGGAGCTGCGGGGCGAGTGGGCCTGAGAAAAGGCAGTGTGAATGAAAGGGGGGAGGAGGAGCTCTGCCTGCCCGCAGGGGACGGGGCAGGTCTTGGAGCTCAGCAAGGTGAGGGGTGCCCTGCCTAGGCCAGCCTGGCTCCCCATCCAACTCCTGGGTGGGTGGAGTGACCTGCATCCCAGACACCCTAAAGGCACAGATCCACACGGTTCTCGGGCTTTCTTTGGCCAAGCCAGCACCATCCAGGCTTGGCAAAATGGGTGCCCTCTGCCCTCCCCCAAACCGCTGCCTCTCCCTAGGAACGGGCTGAGTCCCCGGAGGGCATACCTGGTCAGCCGGCAGGGCCAGACCGCCCTTGCTTTCCCCAGCCATGGGGCGGCTGCTGCTTCAGCTACTGGCCTTCCCCTGTCCTCTCGGACACTCCCTGTCAGCTGAGCTGCTTTGCGCAAGCCCCCCCTCCTCCCCCCCCCACTGCCCCAAGGGCCTCTGATGACAGCTTGCCCCTCCCCTGAGGCCTCACCTGGCCACATCCCTGAGTGTACGCAAGGGGAGGGGTGGGCTGCTCAAGGCTTCCCTGCGGCATTCAGCTCCCTCGCCCTGCTGACCCTCTGGCTCCCCACCCTCCCCTCTTTCCAGCAGACACTCCGGCCTCTCTCTGGCTGGCTCCCTGCCTGGCCTCGGCACGGTTTGGTCCCACGAAGCAGAACACGCCCTGCAAGCTGCCCTCTGGATCAAGGCTGCAGCCCGGCCCACCTTTGGCGCTAAACCGTCTAGTTAAAAAGCCGCACAACAAGAGGGAGAGCAAAACGGTGCCCACATTTGGCCCCCGAGCACAATGGGCGAGAGGGGAGTCTGCCAGCCCCTCCCTCTCAATGGGCCGCTTCTTCAATTCAGCCACAGGTGGGCTTGGTGCGGCGTAACCAGCGTCGGGTCTTCCACCGGCCCATTCGGGAACATTCACCGCTAGGCCTTTTGGCAGATGCGGCCAGCGTGGAGCAAAGCCGGGAAGTGATGATTTAAGGAAAATACCTGGCGCGAACTGAGCCAATCAGAAGGGGCCCCGAGATCTGTGCTGTTCGCCTAAGCCCCACCCTCCTCCCCCAGGAGGCCCCTTCCCCAAGCGACCCCTCTCGGCCGCTCAGCCACAAGGGCACCAGTTGCCCTTCAACACAGGCCCACCAGCCGAGCGGCGGTCCTGCTTCGTCTGAGCGCCTTAGCAGCAGCTCCACTCTGGCGGGTGACGGGGAGGGATGACGGCAGGGCAGGCTGCAGCATTGGGAAGGGCTACCCAAGCACAAGCCACTCCCAGGGGGAGGTGTGGGGGTTTCATGCTGGAAACCTCTGCCTGGTGGTGGGAGAGCATGGGGGGGCAGGGGAAGCAGGCAGGGCTGGGATTCTGGATCGTTTCCCCCCCCCCTTCTCTCCCCCCCCGCTCCGCTCCTAGCCCCACACTTGAGGTCATGTGAAATCTTAGCATCTTCTGGCCCAGAACGGCCGGAGAAGCTCAGCAACCCCCAGGGACTGTGGCATCTCCATGCCCCAAGGTGGAGAGCAGTGCTTGAGGGAACACGGGGGCCTCCGTCTAAAGGCCGGGATCTGTTTCAAGCACTCACAGGAGGGGCTTCAACTGCTGATGCTTTATTGGCCAGCTCGAGAGTCCAATCCTCCCCCGTCACATTTGGCACAAACATTGAAACAAACACTGGCCAGACTCCCGAAAGGAGCCCTTTAAAAAAGAACAAAGACCTCAAATTGAACCCCTGCAGCCCCAGGGAGGCCCTACATTCAGGCTGGGATCTGATCTGGGAGCCCTGGCTGGTCCTGTGGCTAGGAACGGCCCCTGCTTGCTCCGAGGCCAGAATGGGGAAGCCAGCCTCACTATGAACCCAACCCTCGCACTGGGGGTGGGGGTTTCATCTCTTCCCTGATAGCCACCAGCTGCTGCTTCCTCCTCCCACCTGGCTCAGGACAGCCTGTCTCTCTTCTGGGCTGAAATGCAAAATAGTCAATATGGCCGTCAGGGTTTGTTGGCGTCCCAGCAAATCTGTCAAAGTCAGGAACCTGTAGAAAATGTTCTTGAGATACTCCAGGTTAGCCCCCTCCCTGCTCCGGTCCCTGAAGGTCTTCTGAATGTGTCCCTGGAGCAGAGAGACCTCCTCTCGGTGCTTCTCTCCTTCCTCCAGCAGCTTCTCCTGCAACTGGTGAGCCTCCGTCTCCAGCTGGTGCCTCTGCTTCTTCAGGGCCAGGACCTCCACCTCCTTCCGGGCCAGCTGCTCCGTGTACAGCAGGAAGGTGGGCTCGTTGGGGGCAGGGAGGGGCAGGGCCAGGGGCTCCAGAGCATCGTCACCCACCCCACTGTCACTGTGGGCGCTGCCGCTGCCGCTGCCACCGTTAACCGGCCACCCTGCGGCTGCCCTGGGAGCCTGCAGCCCTAAGGGCAAGGCCAGGAGCCTCAGTTGCTGCAGCTCCTGGTCCTTTTCTGCCAGGATGGCCAGGGCCCGTTCGCGCTGCTTGTGCATCTCTTCCTCCAGCCGGAGGGCCTTCTCCCGGCCCTCCGACAGGCACTGCTCCAGCTCCTGCCGGTGGAGCTGCTGGAGGAGAGCCGCCTCTCGCCTCTTGGCCTCCAGCTGCTCCTGGTGCAGCTTGGCCTCCGCTTCGCAGGACAGGCGGAGGGCAACGTACTTCTCCTTCAGCTCTGACAGCTGCTCCTGGCTCTCCTCCAGCTCCTTGGCCAGGTTCCCATCCTTGGCCGATTTGCTCTTCAGGACCACCTGCACCCTGACCTTGTACCTCTCAAACTCCTCCTTCAGCTGCTTCAGCTCCTGCTGGTAATAGGCCACGGTGGCCTTCTCCCCGTCCCCAGACTCCGCATCCTTCGGGGGCTGAGCCGGGCAGAGAGCCTCGACGTCCTCCCCCCCCGTGAGAGAGGGGGCACGCCCAGCGGCCACTCGCGCCAGCTCCGCCAGCTTCTCCACCTTGTCGCTTAGCACGTTGGCGTCCAGGTGGCCGTCCTGCAGGGCCAGGCCCACGGCGGCGTGGCCGGAGGCAGCCACGGCCAGGGTCTTGTTCTCCAGGTCCAGCTGGACAAGGCGGTCCTTCAGTTTCCGGATGGCAGCCTGGTCCTTCTGCCTGGCCTTCTCGTAGGCGCCCAGCAGCTCAGACATCTCCGAGATCCGGGCCTCCAGGGCGGCTCCGCGCTGCTCTCCCATCCGGAGGTGCTCGTCGGCTTGGGCGGCCTGGAGGGGCAAGGAGGAGAGGCGGTCACTCCCGCCCGCCCGCCCGCCCGCGGGGGAAGGGGGGAGGGGAGGGGGTCCCCGCCGCGCCCCCCACCTTGCCGGCCTCCTGCAGCAGCTGCGCCTGGAAGTGGCCCCGCAGGCGCTCCAGCTCGGCCCGCAGCTCCCGCGGCTCCGCCTCCAGGCCCAGCTCCGCCTCGCGCCGCCGCGCCCGCTCGTCCTGCAGCAGCCGCTGGAGCTCCCGGAGCATGTCGGCGTGGTCGGCCTGCTCCTGCGCCCGGTCCCGCTGCTGCGCCGCCAGCCGCCCCCGCGCCTCCCGCGCCTCGGCCTCCAGCCGCTCCCGCTCCGCACGCGCCGCGCGCCGCTCCGCCTGCCAGCTGGCCTCCAGCCGCGCCTTCTCCCGCGCCAGCGTGGCCAGCGCCGCCCCCAGCCGCGCCTCGG